AGTGATTAAGTATTACCAGTAATTCAGTAATTTTTTGGCCAGTATTTAATTTCTGGTGAATATTGATAATAAAATCTGTTAAATATTGATAGTAATCAAATACTGAGAATTATTGTGCAAAGATGAAAAATGAGAAAATCATAATATTTAAAAAAATATATTTATATATTTCATAGAGATCAACCTTCCAAAGGTTGATTCTCCGCGTACGATAATTGAAAAAAAATTTTTGATACGTGCGTTTAACATACTGGACAATTTTATCCTCCCACAATCATATTAATATTAAAAAGTAATATTAGTATTTAATAGCACTAAGCATCCGTGCTTGCTCCTTATGTGCCGTTTCAAATCTTACTGTTAGTTTTTTTTTTTTAGTGTACATTACCAATTTAAATTTCGATTTTCTTATTTCTTCATTAATTTAATAAATAATTATATTTTTCTTCATGCGTAATATTTATAGAAATATTTACAAAATATTATTACAAATTAATTTTTTGTTCACATATATAAAATATTGTATAAAATATTCAGATATTTAGCTTATATTTTAATAATATTTTGAATAAAGGTTTTCATCTCTCTCTTTTCTTCTCTCTCTTTATGTATATATAAAAAATATTTATAAAATATTTATATAATATTAAAAAAAAATAATTTGAAATAAATATTTATAAATATTTATCATTAATATTTATAAATATTTACCATTAATATTGTGTGCTGTCTGGGTTAATACTTTAAATTTTGACAGTACTTTACGTAAGTATTTCATCACTTAGCAAAGTATTACATATTAGTTTTTAAATATTGTTAATGCTATATGTAAGTATTTTATCACTGAACGAAGTATTGTATGTCAGTATTTAAGTATTGAAATCACTCATAAAGTAGTATTTATAACACTAAACATTGAAATACTTGAGCACTAAAAGCTGTATTTGAATCACAGAATATTACTAAACACATTTTTAATACTAAAAATAAATAATTAATCAATGATTTTCAGTATAATATTTCTGTAAGGGTAATTCTGGAAATATTGAAACCTTGTACAAAAAAATAATTTTTGATATGATGTATCTTCAACTTGTAATTTTTTATTATGATGTATCTTCAACTCACACGTTAGTTTATGTTGATTTTAAATAAAATTTAGGTCTTTTAATTTGATTTCTCACTATTTTTACACCAGAAAATTTACTCAGTACTAATTGGACGCGAACTCGAGAACTGCATATACTTTCAGGTTTCTAGTGTATCACTTTAGCTGCTGCGCTACTTCTTCAACTGATACTAAGTGTTTCTTATTGTTCCCATATGCAACCAAAGCAGTAATTTTTATTTTTTTATAATATTATTTAGTACAACTACAAAAATAAATTATTTAATCCAAATATTTTATATAATAAAAGAAAAGTCAAAGATATTCTGTCGACATTTGACCTCTTCTCGTGCCATGGATAGATTGTTAAAAAAAATTTGTGATATCATAATCTTTTTTTAAAAATAATATTTTATGCTTGTTTTTTGCAATTTAATGTTAAATAATTAGCCGCATTTTCATGGAAATGACAACTGAAAACATTCAATACGGTCAGAATAAATTTATAGCGTCCTAATGAACAGTTTTTCGACGATAAGTCTTCCACAGAACGCCAATTTGTGAAATCTTTTCCACAAGAAGAATTCTACCGAAATTTCACTATAACCCGTTACCGCGCTTCGTTTTTCGGCGAGCCACCCTTATAGAAATATCATACTAAGAATCATTGATAATTACTTATTTTCAGTATTAAAAATACTAGATAATAAGTAATTATCAATGATTCTTAGTATGATATTTCTATAAGGACAGACGGTAGGACGGAATTCTGAAAAGTAGTGGTGAAATCTTGATTGCTGAGAAATATTGTAAAAATATTTGCAAGATTTTATACGAAGACATAGAAACGGTGTAAATATTTTTTATGTATCATGTATTTGAAATATTTTGGGCATACGCTAATAAAAAAACATACGAGTATTTAAAAATCCCATAAGATACTTTATAGAAAATTATAGAAATCTTATATATTTATGAATAAATTTTTACTAGGATATCTATATAAGATATAGTTTTTCTCCAAACAGTTGATTTAGATTGATTTAAAAAAAAATTTAAGTAATAATATATCGTGGTTTAAAATAGAGCAGTTTCTATAAAATTTTTTTATAAATATATATACAAATATTTTGAATAATTTCTATAATGTCTCACATATATAATGAACTGGACATATATATACACAACACACACGCACATGCACACACAAACGCACACGCACATTATAACAGAATTATTATTCATTTTAATTACTTGTGCTCATTATTATTATTAGTATAATCTTACAAAAAGCACTCAATTGTGGGTGTAAACACCCAAAAATTGGAGATAAACACCTAAATTTGAATGTTAACTAACTGACTTCTTCAAGTTAAGAAATCTTCGAATATACATACAATGGAAATTTGTACAATAGGTAATGTTTCAAGTAAAATATTTCTAGATTCTTCCATTTGAGATATTCTGATATATTTCTCGCGACAGATTTTCAGAATATTTCAAGAACTTCGCAAATAATAATGTTTCAAATAGAATATTTGTATAATGTTCTATTTCAGATATTTCTGAGATATTTTCAACGATAGATCTCCAGAATATTTCAGAAACATCGCAAATGTAATGTTTCAAATGGAATATTCTTAAAATTATCTCATATTAAATATTCTATTTCAAATATCTGTACAATATCCCAAGAATATCTCAAATGTAATATTTTAAAAATGATATTTGTAATATTCTGGAGACATTGCTGAGATGTTTTGTGCTGTGTGGGTTATATATTGCTTCAGTATAAAAGTAAAAAATGCAACTTAGCTCAATAAAAAAAGAAACAGATCTATAGCATATTATTATCGTCACACAGTCATTTCTGAAACAATCCAAGTAGGAATCATACGTTTCGCTAGTACGGAAAAATGGTCCGATACTGGGTCGATACCGAAAAGCGTATATCCGGTTTTGATACTGGCTCAGTATTAAGATTAGGTACTGAATAGTTGTACCGTACGCATACTGAGGCGTTACCGAAAAGTGTTTGTCGTTTTCGATACTGGCCCAGTATTAAAAAAACCTATATTATTGGTATTGGCCCTTTGTAGAATCAGTACTGGATACTCAAGTAAAAACCTGCCAATAGAGGATATTGAGCCAGTATTGTGTCCGTATCGAAAACGAACGATATCAATGTCCTTTATGGGAAAACGGAAAAGATCACTAACGCGAAACCTAGATAGCTCAGTTGTAAGGATGCTTACTTGACAAGCGTAAGACTAGAATTCAATTCCAGCCGTCGCCCCGATAATTTTTTCCTCATGACTATTAAAAATAGACCTGTATAGGTACCTGTAAAGGAGAGCAACCCGGTCATAGTTTGATCTTTCTTTCCATACTATATAGTTAATATTAACAATTGTATAAATAATAAAAATTAGGTACAAAGGAGAGCAACTCGGCCAGAGTTTGATCTTTTTTTCCATACTATATAGTTAATATTAACAATTGTACAAATAATAAAAATTACTAAGAATCAATACTGGCCCAGTACTGGGAATAAGTACTTTCCCAGTGCTAAGAATCAATACTTTTTATATACTGGTACAATACTGATTTTCGGTACTGTGACAGTACTGTTTTCCGATACTGGCCCTTTTCTATCATCCCAGTATCACACCAACACTAAACCCGTACTGGCATCTGGTACTATGCCAATAACGTTTACTATAAGTCGGTAACACTTTGATGCCAGTAGTAAATTCCTACTTGGGAATGTCTTTTCACGATTTGCACTTCTTCTTGTGCACAAATAAACTACCAGAGTTGTTGTAAGCGGAGCCACAAAGTTTGCAGACGAAAGGCTTTTGTCCAGTGTGCGTAAAAGCATGCTCTTTTAGATATTTGTATCGGGTGAAAGATTTACTGCACGTGTGGCAATGATAGTTTGCTTCGCCCGTGTGAGTCCTCATATGATATTTCAGTCCGTTCGATGACTTGAAAACAGTGCTACATATATGGCAGACAAAGAACTTATCGTCCAAGTGAATTCTCTCATGTCTCTTCTTATAACTAGGAATAGCAAAGCTTTTGCCACAGTATTGACAAGCATATGGCTTAGAGCCATAATGTGATTTCATATGAAAGCGTAATCCGGACATAGAATAAAAGGTCTTGCTACAAATATCACAGAGATATTGCTTCTGGTAATTATGTGACAATTTCTCATAATGAATATTGGGATTGTGTGCAATTTGTGCTTTTAAGGATATTTCTTGAATTTTAAGATTGTTTTCTTCAACATGATCAGATTGCAGTTTTACTGTTGTTTTGATATTTTCACCTAGTGAATCTTGGGATAATGCAGGATCATATATCTCCGAGTTACTAAAGTTTTTTGGACATATTTGTAAGGATCTTTTTATAGATGTCAAAGATCTATTGACGGATTTGCACTTTCTTTCCTTAGATTTTTGTTCTTTTTCTGTTAGTGAGATCCTTTTCTTGCTCTAAATACAAAAATTTTAATTTTTAACGCAAATGCCACAGTTTTTTAATAAGAATTTATTCTTTTAGTTACCTGATATTGTTTAGTCTCCTCATATTCTTCACGCAGCTTATTGTTAGAGATTTTACACATGTTGACAAATTTATGAGCATCTTGTAACTTCATGTTACACTTCCAACAAATAGATTTTGGTAAATTGTCATCTTGTAATATCTAAACAGACAGAAGTTGACTTGTATGTAACGCACAAGAAAAATAATTTTAAAACATTATTTTAAAGGACTTTTCTAAGTATTATTTTAAAGTTTTATATGAATATTTTATTTACGACAATGGAGCATAAATCTGTGATCAATAGCCTTAAGTGCCGGCATTCGTCATCGTTGGTATCGTCGCGGAACAGAGGTGTTACATTCCGTTGTTGTACTTGAAGACATAATCTGCATATTTTCTGCATGCTAACTATTTTCATGAATTATCTAAAAAAAAACATATATATATTTTTTTCCGGTAATTATTCAGTTTTATCCTTACCTCCGATTTCGATGAAAATAGACGTGTTTTTGCACGAGAAACAGCTTTTTTTATCTGACAAAATTGTCGCTCTGCGTCAAGTAACGAGATATTAGCAAAAGTTGATGTTGCATTAGGTTAGGAAATTTGTCACACTGACGCACTGAAATACATACTACCCGGAACACGCGCTACCTCTTGAGTGTTGCGGGATGAGAGAAAGCATGCTTA